TTGTTATTATTATTAAAATATTATAAATTATAATGTAATTAAATTATATAAAATTTATTGTTAATGAATAATTTTATAATTATATTAAATATTAGGCTTTTTTATATAAAAATTACAATTAAAAAGCTTCAAAATGAAGCTTCTAATTTTGTATATAAAAAAATATTATTAAACACATATATATAAATATTATGTGATTACACAAAAAAATTTTCAACTGTAATTTCAAACGCATCCTAAAGCACCTCATGGTTGTGGGCTAGTGTGAATTTCTTGCCTTCTTGGTTTGGATGTGTTTTCGCTTTTCGGTTCCGTTGAATTTATGCACTGAACGATATTAAAAGTACCCTAAACCCGCTCACTGCAATAAATTAAACCTTGGGCTTAAAGCGCGAGAGACTTGTGGCCTAATATATTGGAACTGGGCCCAAAAAATATTAGGGGAATCACAGAGGCCCAAAGCCCCTAACAGAAAGGTCCTTTCTCCTATGTTCCCTCCCGCCAAATCTCAGGGCAGGGTTTCCAAAACCCATCACTGTCTGACTTCCGATCATCTTTACTTTTGAATGTTAGCTTTCCGTTCATGCTGTCTCCGGCGATTTCCTTTCGTCTCTCACTCCCTCAAGCTTCTCCGTCCTCTCTCTTACTGTTTCTTTCTACCATCTAAACAATCCTCATTTCTCAAAAATCCACTGTCGATTTCTCGCTTAAACGCTAGCTCAAACATGTCGTCTCTCCCTTCCGCCTTCGATACTCTCATGTCCAACGCCCGTCGAGCCGCCAAGAAAAACCCCTCCTCTTCCTCACCCAGCAAGAAACGGAAGATACAGGATTCAACCCCAACTCAAAACCCTAACCCTAGTAAAACCCCGACTTTGGTTGAACCCACTAAAGAGACTGCTTCTGTTCTCGATAAGAATGGGCAAGATTCTGGTAGTTCTCAACAATCCAAGAAATTGAAGGTGACGAGTACGGCCGAGAGAAGTGCGAAGCTCAAGGAGAAAATCGAACTGCTGAAGAAGAAGCCTGCCGCTTTTGATCCCAACATGGTGGCGTGTTGGGAGAAGGGAGAGAGAGTGCCATTCTTGTTTCTGTGCTTGGCGTTTGATTTGATATCAAACGAGACAGGGCGGATTGTGATTACAGATATTGTTTGTAATATGTTCAGGACTGTCATTGATACAACGCCTGAGGATTTGGTGTCCGTAGTGTACTTGGCTGCAAATAAGGTTGCTTCTCCTCATGAAGGATTAGAACTGGGAATTGGAGATGCATCCATCATCAAAGCGCTTGCGGAGGCATTTGGAAGAACGGAGGCACAGGTTAAGAGCCAGTACAAGGTATATAATTTATCTGGTGGATTGAATTTCATTCATTCCTAATTTCATTGGTCATCACTGTTTTTCAGGTTTTAATTGGAAAATGTGTTGGGCTGCACTGCCTTTTGTAACTGGCATTTTCATTGCCTTTTTGGCAGGATAAAGGAGATTTGGGTCTTGTTGCACAAGCAAGCCGTTCATCTCAATCTATGATGCGCAAGCCTGATCCACTAACAGTTGCCAAAGTTTTCAACACTTTTCGGCTTATTGCTAAGGTGCATATTAATATATTATTTTGGATAATGTAGATGATTTTTGTTTCTTTAAGTGACTTCTTGAGTTCTTCTTCTTAAGCTTATTATAAATTGTGACAGTTAATTGAATATCATCTGCTTTTTGTAACTGACTTGCCCTTATTGATTATTTAATGTTACTAGGAATCAGGAAAGGATAGTCAGGAGAAGAAAAAGAATCATATCAAGGCACTTCTTGTTGCAGCCACTGACTGTGAACCTCAGTATCTTATCCGTCTACTTCAGGTTGCAATTTTTACTTTCGTTAAATACTAGTTTATTCATTCCCTTCTCCTGTTATAAGCTTTATGTGGATTCCTCGTACAGGCAAAATTGCGGATTGGATTAGCAGAACAAACTCTATTGGCTTCCTTAGGACAAGCTGCTGTCTACAATGAACAACATTCTAAACCCCCTTCACACGTACAATCTCCTTTAGAAGAGGTGAGTCAGCCCTTTTGTAGATGTGTAAGATGTTACCGTCCTTTATAAATTGTGTTACTGTCACGAAAACATGCAGGCCATTTTACAAAAGGTGCTCATTCTTTTCTTTAGATTCACCGATAGTCTGATGTTTATGTAACAAGGATTTTGTTGTATCTGAAGAAGTTTTTTCTTAGCTGATGCATTGATGTTTAATCTTTACGAAATACATTCTAAGTCACTATTCTTTGTATTTGAGGAGTAGGTTAAATTATGGTATTGTGTGCCTTCAGAGTTGTAGCACCTTGTTTGTGGTTAGGAAGGTTGGGAATATTGGATTTTTGGTCACTTTTTAATGCATTAAAGGTGGACCAGAAACTTCCCAAGTTGTGATCTACTTTCATTAAAAATGGCTATGGTTGATTGCATATTTTTAAATGAGTTATTTCCACTGAAAATTGCCTTCTGTTCCTGCATACTGAACTTTCACTACTCTGTTGAAAGTGATCTTTGAGAGTTCTCATGCAGGCTGCCAAGATTGTTAAGCAAGTATATTCTGTCCTACCAGTGTATGATATAATAGTCCCTGCTCTTCTGAAGGGTGGTGTATGGGATCTTCCAAACACATGTAGCTTCACACCAGGTGTCCCTATTGGACCTATGCTAGCAAAACCAACCAAGGGAGTTCAGGAAATTCTAAATAAATTCCAAGATATTGAGTTTGTATGTGAGTACAAGTATGATGGAGAACGTGCCCAGGTGCTATGATAATATGTGCTGCCTTTGGTGTCTTTTTATTGATGCCAATCAGTACATATCATCTGACATAAAAAATTCCCTATGCTATGCAGATTCATTACATGGATAATGGTTCAGTTGAGATATACAGTCGAAATGCTGAGCGAAACACTGGAAAGTTTCCTGATGTTGTTACTGCAATTGCAAGGTAGAGTTCTCTTGGTTGGGGAACTCTGTCTCTTTTAATCTTTTTATTATCTTTTTGTATTTCCTCATGAAATAGTTGTTTTGTAGATCTGCAATTCTACATGCCTAATAAAGGATATGCTTGATTTAGATCAAGTGGTTAACAAGTGATACTGTAGTACTTACAGAGTTTCTTTCTTATGTGTATCTCCAGCTTGAGTGTCAAAACTCCATGGCCAATCTAATGATATAATAATGTAGTTAATTATAAATATATTCTTATTTGCTGCGGAGGTGATGCTTAAATGGTGTTAGAATATTGCATATTAGTCTTCTTTGGTTTTTGCTGGACGACTTGTTTTCAGATCTAAGTCATGCCTTCTAGAATTATTTAGAGAAAACTGACTAGAAATCTATGAATTTCCTTGGATTACATGAGAAAAATTAGATATTTGTGTTGTCTTCTATGTGGTTAGTATAAAGTGGATAATGGTGACGCAGTCACCTTGCAAAGTCATTAACATACTATCCCTGATGTACTTGCTACTTGTAAAACTTCTTTTAAACCCTTTTGAAAGGCTTTATCTGTTGCTATATTAGCACAGATTATCTTGCTGAAATTTGTTCTCTTATGCAGATTTAAGAAATCACATGTAAGATCCTTTGTTTTGGATTGTGAGCTCGTTGCTTATGACCGACAAAAGAAGAAAATTCTGCCTTTCCAGGTAATCTGTTGTGAATCAAGTTCTTTGAAGATCTACATATTCTTGCACACACACACACACACACATACACAAAGGTGAATGCTGCCAATATGGTTGAGGGTAATGGAATTATGCCGATTCCATTTTGGCCTTTTTCAAGTTTCTCAAATCTTTGTCCTGAATTGGAATTGGGCTATCTTATTTAAGAGATAAGGGCAGATCCTATTTAAGAGATAAGAGCAGATAGAAGCTACTTTCACATTTCTATTTAGAATGTATGATTGCAAATTCAAACTAACCTGAATCATAATATAGATGGATTCTGTTCCATTTGGGTATTACATGTTATTTGACCTCAAGTCAATTTGTGAAAAAAAAAAAATGATTCTTATTGAAATCATCTTTTATTCTGAAGACTGGCATTGCTTTGTCATATTCTGTGTTCTTGTTTTGCCCTCTATACAGTGCTTTGGAACATCTGTTTAGTATCTGAACCTAAAGCTTCTTGATTTGAGTTATTGGATGTTTTTATTGAGTTGATTTTTGATGCAGACCCTTAGTACAAGAGCCCGAAAAAATGTGGAAGTGAAGGACATCAAGGTTGATGTATGCATATTTGCTTTTGATATCTTGTATCTTAATGGGCAACCACTTATTCAGGAACAACTAAAAGTTCGTAAAGAGGTGATTTGACAAGTGATTATGTTACTATGATGTGCATCTTTTCTGGTTCTCTTTGAATTTGTATATCGCTCACTTTAGATGATTTTGGTTGTCCCTGTTTAACTCCTTGCAGCGGCTTAAGGACTCATTTGGGGAAGAACCTGGATTTTTTCAGTTTGCAGCAGCAATAACATCAAATGATATTGAGGAAATACAAAAATTTCTTGATGAAGCTGTTGCTGCAAGGTAAATATTTCAGACATTTGATGATTTTGAGTAGTTAATTGATGACTCATTGTCTGAAGATGAACTTGTATATTGTATGTGGTACACAGGATTTCATCGTGCATTAAACCAAACTTAGTAATTGTAAATGCACTCCTCAAGTGCTAAAAAGAAGAACTCAGAATCCATAGGATATTGCTCATCAGTAAAGAATCCTTGGAAGAATTATTTATATTATTTAGGGCTTCTTTGCAATTTCAATATAATTCTAGATCTGAGGAAATTATAATATAGGTTATTAATTTCATATTTTGGTTAGACTCTGTCTTTTATTAAGAGTCCTGTCCTGTTAGGGTTTCAAGGTTTATTCTTTAGGTTTAGGTATATTGGATGAATTGAACAAAGATTTCTGCTTTGTTGTTGCTGTCCAGTTCTCTATCTGTACCCTAAGTGGCGGGGAACAAGGAAGAATCAGTTTTAGGATTATTTAACAGTTTGATTAATAGTGGTAATTGAAGTGTCATGCTAGGAGTTTCAAGTTATAGTTCTAATTAGAATAGGAGATCTATTTGGAATATGCTTGTAGCTTCTTTCTTTATTCAATCAATTGAATATGTTAGAAATTTTTAGCAAGAGTTTTTCTTCTTTCAACAGCCACTTAATCCCCATCTCACTATTCACGCTACTCATAGCCCACCATACCCTTGACCTGTCCTGCGTCCTTCTAAATCTCCTAAGTCCTTCCAACTATTTTCCTATATTTTCCTGCCACTCTATCTCTTTCTCTCTCCATATTCAATTCTTTCTTTTGTTCTATATCATGTATCAAACTACTGGCAACTTGACTGCCTCACTTTTTTATCTGTTAGACAAACAATGTCATGTGTGGCTCTTTCTGTTCGTTGTGGAGTAAAATCATGGTAAATTTATTCAACTTGACCTATGGCTTTCTGTGGCATTAACCTCTAATGATCTGTCTGCAGTTGTGAAGGTTTAATTATCAAAACATTGGACAGAGAAGCTACATATGAGCCATCAAAGCGGTCCCTTAACTGGCTAAAACTGAAGAAAGATTACATGGATAAGTAAGTTGTAAAAGAGTATGGCCCTTATGAGTAAAATATGATTAGGTAGTATTTTCAAAACCAATAATGGTCCGGATCATCCTGTGCAGTATTGGAGACTCCTTAGATCTAGTACCTATTGCTGCTTTCCATGGTCGTGGGAAACGGACAGGTAAGTTCTACCCCATTGTTTCCTGTCTTTATATAACCATTTTTTTCTTCTTGTTTCCTTGCTTTCTGCCTTGGATAAATTGATGATGTTATAATTATGTTCTCAGGTGTGTATGGTGCTTTTCTATTGGCCTGTTATGATAGTAATAACGAAGAATTCCAGAGCATCTGTAAAATTGGTAAGAAAATTTTGATGTTGCTGTTCAACATCTTTCAGTCTTTTCCACACAAACTGATCCCTCCTTCCTCTTTATGATGATGATGCTCAATAGGTACCGGATTTTCTGAAGTAGTGCTTGAAGAACGTTCTGCCAGTCTCCAGTCTAGAGTGATTCCCGAACCAAAGGTTTATTTCTATTCCGCTTTCTTCCAATGGAACTGATGAAAAATTTTCAATGTATAAGGTTTGTCACGTGAAGACTTACTAATTGAGCGCTTTAGCTTTCTTTCTATTTGTAGTCATACTACCGCTTTGGGGATACACTTAAACCAGATGTATGGTTTGAGCCATCTGAGGTAGATTTTGTTTATAAAATGTAATTGACTAGTTTCTTTGAGTTCTTGCTTCCGCTTTGTTTTGGTGGGCTATTCTTTCTTTTCCCAGGTATTGAGATCAAGTAAAATAGTGATAAGACTGTAATTTAACATTTATAGGTTTGGGAGGTAAAAGCTGCTGACTTGACCATTAGCCCTGTTCACCGTGCAGCAGTTGGAACCGTGGCTTCTGATAAGGTTGGACATAAATTGTCACGCACTTAGGTTGAGTTTGGTGCATTGCAATGTAATGTGATACCCTCCCTGCTAATATATAGTTCTACAAGAACCAATCATATTTTCACTTTTTCGAACATTATAATTTGATTGGTTTTTCTTATAAATTAGGATTGTATAGTAGGATATCACATTACATTGCGATACACCAAACCCAACTTAAGGTTCTGCAGTTTATTTTTTCTGTTTTTCTCCCTTTCTTGAACCCAGAGGTTGGGGTTGTGGATCCAGATCTGTTCAGTTTGTGTCCATAACCATTTTTTTAAGCTAATTTCTTGCTGCAAAGATGAAGATGAGCTGTAATCTCTGTTTGATTCATCTTATTCTATATTATTCTTGGTGAAAGGGTATATCTCTACGATTTCCCCGTCTCCTTCGCGTTCGAGAAGACAAGACCCCAGAGGAAGCCACCTCATCTGAGCAGGTGAAATGCAATAGAGTTGTCTAATCATTCATTCACATGATTAACACACAAATGATTCAGTTGATGTGTGTAGAAGTTATTATATGCCGCTCATTACATTTTCTTAATTCAAATTCACAGGTTGCTGAGATGTATGCTAATCAACAGAATGTTGCTGATGATGAAGAAGACTGAAGGATGTTTTTATATGATTTCCTTGTAAAGTTCTGCAGTCTTGTTGGTATGAATCCATGTTAGTAGATACCATAATAAACGGTACATAAGAAGTTAGAACTCACGAGAAGGTGTATGTAGATGAAAACTGCTTAAACAAACTTGTTCTTTCAGGTAACTGTGATGATTTCTGTGGGCGGAGGACCCATAAGCAGATTATTATCAATCAAAACAGGGTGGCACAGACATGAGGCGTGACAGTCGGGATTTTACTAGCAGCTTGTTTGTTCCTTTCTCTTCAGCCTCTGCCGAGTAGACTACAATCAGCTGCTGGATTTGGCACCATCCAATTTGCTTTTGATTCTTTTCTATTAAAACTGCTTTGAAAGTTCATGGTTTTTCAACAAAATTTCGAGTTTACTTCTCGTTTTTCCAATATACCATTTCCTTCCTTTTCGCCAGAAATGATTAATGTTGCTGCTTGGTTTGTATCCCACTTTATATCCAGAATGTTTGCTCTTCTTTTTTTCTCTTTCTTTTTAAACATTGGAGGAAGAATTGTTAGGTATCACAAAAATTTAAATATTTGATTTTAATTTCAAATCAAGGTTTTTAATTTAATAAATATTAATTCAATTAAATTCTTATTGATTTGCTCTTATTTATTACTCGGTATAGGTAATATTTAATATAATAATAATAATAATAATAATAATAATAATAATAAAACAGGGGAGGTGGTAGGTGATCAAACTCGTACGTCGTACCGAGCCATTTGTTGGTTCCTTCTCTTTTTCTGGGGGTGGTGTGGGGCGAACTGAAAGAATTGGGATATTGGAGAAGGGGAAGGGGACACCACAGGCCGTAGAGCAATTGAGGTGTGCGGGTGGAGAGGGGACTCTTATCTCTCGTGATTGGGTTCTCGAGCCAAGTAGTTTGATTAAGCTCGAATCAAGCGAAGATGAAGATCTTAA